TTTCCCTAGTTCAGCACGTGAGCCGTGAACACCAAGTTAGAAATGGTGGACTCCAGCCAGTCCCCTGAAATCATCTCGCTCACCTCCGGCGTGCAGTAGTCGGGGAACTCGAAATGAGAAGCCCCGGACTCGAAGTGCATGTCGAAGTCTCTGTCCAGCACCGACGAGCCGATGCTTCCCAGGGACATGCTGTCAAAGCCTGGGCTCGGGTTAACGTCCAGCATGTCGTCGTCGAGCTCCTCGTCGGAGGAAGAGGAGAACTGCGATGAAGAGGAGGACGAGTGTGACGCGGACGGAGCGGGCGAGGACGCCCGCATGGTGGTGTACCTGTGGCGGTCCGAGGACGAGCTGCTGGGGGAGTCGGCGCCCTCCTTGCCGCTGCTGGCTCCGTCCTCGTACAGACTCAGCGGGTCGCTGGACTCGGCGGAGCTGCTCAGGGTCGGGCTGGCGGGCACGGCTGCTGAACACGGGCTTATGCCGCTGCCGCCCCCGAAAATGTACACCCGCTTCGCCTTCTTGTCAGGTATCTGCTTGGAAGCCGACGCTGACTTGGATTTGTAGAGAGAGTGGTGATCCGCGGGTCCCTGCTCGGGGAACGCTGCCTTCGCGCTGCCCAGAACTATTTTGTGCGGCTTGCTCGTGGATCTGGGGCTCCCGCTCTTCTTTGAGGCTGGTTTGGAGCCGGCGCTGGCGCAGCTGAGCTTCTCTCCCTTCTCGCTCGGTTTGGAGCCGCTCGACTTCACCTTTTTTCTCGGCCGGTACTTGTAGTCGGGGTAGTCTGCCATGTGCTTGAGCCGCAGGCGCTCCGCCTCTTGGATGAAGGGGATCTTGTCGCTGTCTTTCAGGAGCTTCCAGCGCTTGCCGAGTCTCTTGGAGATCTCCGCGTTGTGCATGTCCGGCGACTGCTCCATGATCTTGCGCCTCTCGATTTGCGACCACACCATGAACGCGTTCATTGGTCTCTTGATGTGACCGCTGGGGGTTTTGCACCAGCCGGGGTCAAGCTTGTCCGCGCCGGACTCCGTGGAGCCGGGGGTCGGGGAAGAAGCCATGTCCAGATCCAGCGCGCCGGAATCGGACGAGTCCCCAGCAAACAGCGCATCGGGTTTTTCCTTGCTGCTTGTTTTCTGGACCATTGCTACACCAGTCTGTGTGTGTGTGTGTGTG